AAATAAATGCAAACATATTGGATGACGGTTTCAATCCTTCGGATGCTCAGCTGTCTGATCCTTTATCGATCCCACCTCATGTTCTCCCGTACTGCTATTCATCATTGACTCATCATCATCATCATCATTTTACGGCGTAATACAGTGAAGCGAACTTCACTGATCGCTGCCAAACTCATACCGCAAACAAGGTAAGTGAGGATGTGTAAGAACGATAGAGATTGAACTTAATTTTAGGGAATGTAAAAGAAGGCGAACCTCTATCTTCAACAGACAGAGTACACAGTCCAACTGTGCACGCATACTCTTTCAAGCATTCTAGTCTGATAAGAAGTGACAGCACGATCGCCATTGGAGCCAACGAAGCCTATTGAGCTGGATTCGATGCGACAGTGAGTTCGTGTTCGGTGCATCCCCAAACATCCGACGACTTACATCTAAGTCACTAACCCGCTCACCCCATCCCACCAGACTACGTAAGCGTCGATTGTCGAAAACCGCTAGGCGACGGATGCCTTCTACCCGCAAATTCAAGCTCTCAGCCGTAAAGCAGAACTGATCGCACAGTGGCGCAGTATACATCGCCTTTCAACTTGAATGAAACATTACATCCTCGCCACAGTTAAGTCTTACGAACGCTACTCGAGCCTTGGAAATGCGGGCGGTTATCTCCTTTGATGCGCTACGTCGTTGGTCATGCAGCTACCTAAGTACGAGGAGCAGTCAACTTCAGATAATTCCTTACCGTCTAGTTTCAAAGCAGAACTCGGTGATACCCATTCTTGTAGCATCACTTTACACTTTGAAGGTGCAAAGCACATGCCGAACGGAGTGACAGAACTTGCTGATCTGTCAAGTAACTACTTTGATTGGTAGTGGTGCAATAGTTTAGTCGCTGTCACCGATGTGCTTTGGACTCTATAATCCGAGGTTCGAACCCCGCCAACGCCATCCAACTTTCGTGGTATGCAGTTTTGCTGTAGTCCAGTTTGATACCACGTCCCTAATCTATCGGGGCCTTGCCACTCGAAGTCCCAGTTTTCATCAATGAATAGCAGGTCCTCGTGACTATGGGGTTTCCTCCGTCTGCTGTTCATCACACTTAAAAGTGTGCTTTGTCCTTATTGGTGTTTCAATGTGTCTATCACAATGGACCGTAGTGTTTATATCCGAAACTTCCTGTATATTGCTATCTGAGTTCTCCAGAATGCCTGGTTGATTTGAAGTTCCTTTTGGATATTTATTTTCTCCCAATAGTCTTTGAACATCCTTTCGCTTTCACAGGATAGAAGGAGATGAACCAATTCAAATTATTCCAGTTATTGGACAGCGCTGGCTATTTGCCAAATGACGGATATCCGTCGCGTGTTTTTTCTTCTCCGATCGCATAGGTGTTTTTGTTTTCTTTTGAATTGTTCCGATTTTTTTTCACTACGGATATTGAACATCGACCCGCATGCGATTCCGGTTGTCCCAACTGGAAGCGCTTACATTTTCACCGGGTTTTAGTATTCCGAGCTTTTGTTCGGTTCCACCGTTTCAAGTCACATCCCGTAGAATGGATTTTAGCACTTGCTCTATCGTAAACATCGAAAACTATAGCCCCCCGCCCCTCCATAAAAAAACACCCGGTTCAGTGTTATGCTCCGTCTTTTCGCCCCGTCTCCCTTCAGATTAGATGTGCTGACCATCAACGCACTGGCCCGCAGTCCTGGATCCTATTCACCAACCAGTAATGCCTTCTCCGGTAGCCTTCGACTACGCAAGTCTCTCACAAACGAAGATTTGTACATCGATCCGGTGGAAAATGTGATCAATAGTGTGGATCCAAAGGTGTTTCGGTAAGCGGTTGAATTTCCAGTCCACCATTCTCCGGGATCATTTACGATTTTCGTTCTGAATGACTTCAGTTTAACTCCGTTCAATCAGTATTCATGGACTCTCTTGTGTGGCCGGTTTTTGGTTGCTGTTTGATTACACCCTATCGTTGCACCTCGCGAAATACTCCATTAACAGCAAACATTTCAACTGGCTTCTTGTGTGAAATCCTTACTGCTTACCACCTTTACGCGACGAAGGTAACTCGCGTTACAACTGGGTTGATGAACCATTGGCAGTTCACCTAGGGGAGTGGGCCAAAAGCCCTGATTCCATCAAAACCACCTGGGCTGTTTCAATATCACACCCGAACTAGCGGGGCCTTATGTGATTGGTCGCTCCGAATTCGCGGGGCTTAGGTCACCGTTTTTCATTTCTGGATAACAAGTCTTCGTGACTATGGGATCCATCAGTCTGGGGTTCGTCACACAGAAAAAATGTATTGAAAAAAGAACACGCATACGAACAACACACCTTCATGGTTGTCGCAGTGATCATCGACACGATTGGGCACAGAGGTTCGCAGGGTAACATTCAAGTTCGACCCGAATGAAGTGGACACCGGCTCGTGGTTTACACCCACCGTACCACTGTCTTGTGGGTCATGCTCTGGTTAGCTGAAGGCTCTGGTTGTGACTTCGCTAATAGAATTGCCCCCTACTTTGTCCTGGGCAACCTAGTAGTATATAACGCCCATCGAGCAAATCATGGAACTTTGCCCTTTTTATAAAGATCATTGTACCGTGTTTGCTAGGCACGCAGTCTGCACTCAAACGTATATNTATATATATATATATATATATATATATATATATATATATATATATATATGAAATATGAGTATTTTTGTCCCCTGTTTATATCCTAATGCTCGAATGATAGTACAGAGAATCTTCTAGAGGTAAGAAAAACAGTGGGGTAGGCTTGCGTACTTGCAACCGTCAGCAAGAAAGCTGGGCATGTACGAGATTCATTTTTTTCTCTCATAGATATATGCCCACCGAATGTTTTTGTTCTCTTCTCGCTGAGTTCTTGTGTGGGCTGTGCGGGAACCGTTAATGTTTGAATAACTCCACCACTGTGTTCTGTTCTGTGCCACATCTCTTATTGTTTCCAATTCAGTGTTGTGTAAGTTCATGTGCTTCTTCTCATCGTGGACGTGGGGACGAGATAGCATGGGTCAAACTTACCTTAGAAGAACTTCCTCATTCCCTTTATCTACATCATAGTCTGATCTTCTGCATTTTTCGTTTTTCCAGCTGACGCGTACCAACCAGTTCAGTTATGGTAGCTCTTAGGGTAATAACGGTGTAACGGCTAATTCGTGTCATTGAACGCTATAAAGTTCGTCAGAGCACACACAATCTTAACAATCGATTACGTCATTCCAATCAGTTTTGCCTCTTTGATCTATGTTCCTACTAATAAATTAAGTCTTCTTTATTGTAAAAAGTGTAGAGTCTCTCCGTGTCACTCCGTCATCCACACTGGTCTTGCTAATCACTAGTCAGTACTAAGTATCATCCATCACACCAAAAATCTTGATTCAGTGACTACTCGTTCAACCACCACTGTGCTGGCGTTTTTGCTCTCGTGTTTCTCCTGGTTTGTGTGTGTGTGTGTGTCTACGTATGCCTGCTTGCTCCAGTTTGACATGCATGGCTGCTGCGTTCAAGTTACGAAATATCCATATCCCTGTCCTGGAAATTTTTGATGGTCTATGCTCTCAGCAAAAACACATCATTCTAGACACGTTTGTGTGTTTCTAGCTTTTTCTTCATCATCTTATCGAGCAGATTGTCTGAGTGGTGAGATAAGGCTTGGGAAGAAGACTGAAGCTCACCCCGTGTTCGCTTGGATGGGTAGTGAATGTCAAGTCCCGATTGCCAACAGATGAGTACCGAGGGGTGTTGTGCGTTTTTCTCTCCGTACATCACTTGGTTGCAAGACTGAGTCGCAATTTTTACGTTAGTTTGCTTTCTGATTTCACTTCTTACTCGTTCGTCGTTGTTGTGCATGGTACTTCTTCCGCAGCGCGTGTAGCTTCCCAAAAACGTCCCGCCTCTCTCTCTCGTTTTGCAAATCATCTTCGTCTGTCAAATTGATTCCGTCGTCTGTTCAGCAACTTCTTACATCTCCCATCTTCCTCCCTCTCTCTGGCTCGTTCGTTCGCTCGCTCGTTTATTGTTCGATCCTATTCAATGGACCTGATTAATCTCACCGAGTGGTCTTTTGTAGGCGAGTCGTTCCGATCGAATTTTTCTTTGTTTGCTCTAGTGGGCACATACATTTCATGGTGTGCAGCAGCCGTTACAGTCTGGATTTCACCATCCAACCCAACCCCGGTTCCATCTATCTGTTTCTGAAAAGAAAACGAGTGTATCTGTTTGTTTTTTTTCCTGTGTAACTATTGTCCAATTTCACTCGTCCGCGGCTGATCGTATTTGCCAACAGGGTATAGATGGATATGCGTCGTGACATGTAAATTACCTTCATCATCCTGTCAAGGACATTCGAAAGTCACAAATACTTTTTTCGGTAGCGACAAACTGCACCGACTGGTCATCGAGAAACAGACGTCCTGAATGATTCAAGTTTGCATGAATTCAGTCTGTCCATTCGTTACCCGGAGATTCTGACCGGTTTCTGTTTTTTTTTAAATTTCTTTTCCAATTGACTTGTATCAGACAGTGCACGCGTACGGTTCAGTGCATTTTTATCTGGTTCAAATCCCACACGGTTTTTTTGTTTGTTTGTTTGTTTGTTAAATAGACATTTCTCTCGATCGGATTGCAAGATGTTTTTTTTTTTAAATGATCGGTTACTTAAAAAGGGGACTTGCTACCTGTGACTGTTTTGTTTGTTGGATACGTGCTCATCTATCTCTATCTCAGATATTTCAATCCGAAGTGAAATGCATGGAAAGGCTTCTGGGCTTGTGCTATGTCTTTCTTAAACACGCCTTTTTGCATGTTACGATCGAGAGCTAATTCCCAGAGATTCTGTTGATTTCCATTCGGTTCTGGCGTTGCGGTAATGATCGAACCTCTGGACATGAAACAAATCAAACGTTTTTTTTTCTGAAAGTTTGTTTCAAATGATCTCCAAGAGCGGTTTGAGTAACGCTTGCGCAACCACCAACAGGTACTTGTTACTCACAACTGTCTTAAATAGTATTCAGAGCGAACATTGAGGGCAAGCTTGTGTTCGAATCCGAACACGGTTCGGTCTCTGGGACAAATAGCATGGTAATTTCCAACGACAAAAACTGATAAATTTCGGACCGAAAATGACTGAGTCGTTTGCACACTCACTTGTTTTGTTTTGTCCTTGTGCTTTCCTACGGTTTGTTTTGTCCACTCCTTCAGTCCACATACACATACACAAACGCATATATATATGGTGGTGACTCAGTTATTTAGTTGCTGTCACCAGCCTGCTGTGGACCTTATGGTCCGAGGTACGAGCTCTGCCAGCACCACCCTATTTTCGTTGAAGACAGCCTTTTTGTCGCCTGGTCCAATGTCGCGCATAAGATAGCGGTGCCTCGTGTGGTTTGCCACTCCATGTCTCGCGAGGCTACCGGTTTCCATCATTGAACAGCTGGTCTTCGTGACTATGGGATCCGCTCCGTCTGCTGTTCGTCACACAGAATTATGTGTAATAAAAAGTTTGAAAAGCTGCTATCACTTCTGTGTAATGAGTAGAGGATATGTTGTTCCCTTACCATTTATTCATCCATTCGTATAACTGATCGGTGATTTGCTTTCTATCATTCTGGTGAAATGGACCCGCATGTGGACCCTTCTAATCTTTTCTAGACTGCAGTTCAAAAGAATTTGTTTTCACTCACAATTGTACTGGACCGTTCCTTCGGTCACTCTCCCTCGTTCTTATTTACCCCCATCTTCTCTCTGTTTCGGTCGAGATATTCGTCAAATGTCATCTGGTAAATCCATACATTCAGACAATCGGACACGCTTGATTATCTCCTGACCCAGTGCTGTCTGTTTGAATAAACCAAAGCTGGGCGTAATGTACAGAAACACACTCACACACGCTCGTTACTCCGTTTCACCCTTTTTCTCTCTTTCTCTTCATGAGTCATTGGTTCATCCATGTGTTATTTTGTTAAATATTGAAAAGCATCTTCACAAGCCCTCTCATTTTCCAGCTATCGTTCAATTGTTGATCATGAATTCTTCATTCTCCATTCGTCTCCCCTGATATCGCTCGACCCCGGAATTCTCGGTTTCCGAAACGACAGATTCTTGCAACCCGACTTATTTTCGGTTTTGCTGACCAGGTGGCCTTTCTCAATTACCGAATTACGGTGCTTGTTTTGACAGTCAGTTGATTGATTGGTTGGTTGCTGCGTCCCTTGATCTGTTGTGCGAGCTTTAATTCAAACAGTCATGATCCAGAGTGTCTGTATAAACTTGTTTTTCAAACATCGAGACAGATTAGTTCAAATTTGTGTAGCTCGGCACTGAAGCGCGAGATTACAAGTACACGAATGTTGTTTACCCTTCAGATCGACCCCCCCCCTGGGGATCAATTGGGTTCTCTTGATCGATCACTCGCAAGCGACAGTACGAGGTACCCGGTAGGAGTAGCACCTATGACTCGGAGGGCTGTCGGCCCCTTTGGGGCATCCTCCATTCTTTGGTTTNCCCTTTGGGTCATCCTCCGTTCTTTGGTCTCCACCAGGCACTAAGTTCTTACCTGTGGCTCCAAGAAGCTAGTTGGATGCAACAGAGGCCACACCCCGGTACACCGCTCAACAGGTTGCTTCTATGTACTAAAGGTATACAGTTCTGTTTTAACGGAGCTTTTTATCATCAAGGTGAACGTTGCAGTGGGTAATCCACTAGAACCGGTTCTGGCTGATATCTTCACGGTAAACCTGTAGGATTCAAAACTTCAACGATGCATAAAGAGCACACACCTCTACGGCCGTTACATCG